TACTTTTGCCCGCAATTCTGGCCTTCCCCCAAGCTACAGCGATCGCAGCAAACCGTTCCAGCACGCCCGGTGCGGGCTCCTGCCCTGCTCCGTCCGCGACCAATTCAGCGTGCCCAACAGCGCCGCAACTGCCCTCTTTGGTTCCCCAATCACCCTGGAAAGCGCTATCGTCAGCAACATCATCCACCAAGTCAGCTATAAAACCGCCCCTGTCGTCCCGCACGCTCTGTGGGCTCGGTGGCTGTGCTTCAGCGCAGACCACTAATCCGTTGCTTTTCGCCATGCAGGTTAGTCGAATGTCTCATTCTTTTGGAAAAAAAACTAGCAATTATTTTCTTATACAGCTACCGAGCCCACGGTGTTGCGCTACAGTTGTTGTTGAATGTGTTCATGTGATGCAGTCGCTTTTGCTTTTGGCGGGAGATATTGAAACCAACCCTGGCCCTCCCAGTATTGAGGACGTAATGAACGAGTTAAGAAAGCTATCGGCTGGCCAGTCGAAGCTGATTACCGATATGCTAGACCTTAAAAACCAGCTACTAACAAGAGACAAAACCCTATCGGACCTCAATAAACGCATGACTGATTTAGAAGGACATTATCACGCCATTTCGACCATCCGAACCGACCTGGACACTATAAAAACAGATACCACTGAAATGGCTAACCGGATTGACCGTCTTGCTGCACAGATGGATGATACCGAAAACAGGTCCCGTCGCAATAACCTGATCTTTTATAACATTCCCGACCCAAACCCTAAAGAAACATTTGCAGAATCTGAAGAAATCGTCACCCGTCATTGTCATGATCACTTGAAGTTCACCGTTGACCCTAATCACATTGAACGCGCACATCGCCTAGGACGCCACACAGGAGGCCATAATCGGCCACTCATTGTAAAATTCAATCAATTCAAAACTAAAGAATCTCTACTTTCTAATGGCCCCAAATTTAAGGGAAGCAATTTCAGTGTTGGTGAAGATTTCTCTCATCCCGTTAGAGTTGCTCGTAAAAAACTGATCGCCTTCGCTAAATCAAAATCTACTTCCTACTCATTGCGGTTCAAAACATTGCACATTGGTACCAAACGCTACGTGTATGACCACTCCACAGATTCTGTTCAGGAAATGTTGTAGCAATTGCCCCATCAACAAAATAGGCCTCACCACCCTCGATCCGCCCCTCGATCAAACTTATTGCTTTCTGCTGTCTTTACTAACATACGCAGCTTTATTCCAAAACGTGACATTATTTCTAATCTGGTGTTATCATCTGATAGCAACCTTCTGATACTAACGGAAACGTGGCTTACTAGTGACGTGACTGACGGCGAGGTACTCGCTGACCTACCCAATTTTAGAGTGTTTCGAAACGATCGCAGCGGCACGAGAGGAGGAGGAGTACTCGTCGCTGTCAGTCACAACATATCCTGTTCGTCTATAAACATTGTGTCCGACCTTGAAATCTTGTGGCTTAAATGCCATGCCGCACCGCACTCAGTTTTACTTGGCGTTTGCTATAGGCCCCCTCACAGTACTCCTGATTTTTCTTCTAAGCTCAATAATATACTAAGCGAAATAACGACCAAACACCCTAACATGCATGTAATTCTGTTTGGCGATTTTAATTTTCCTAATATCGATTGGGCAAGCCAGCCTGCACCAGCGGCTACGTCAAGGGAATCGAACGACTTCCTTGATGTATGCCTTAACTTTAACCTATCTCAAGTTCTTACAGAACCAACCCGCGTTACCAATAACTGCCAAAACATTCTGGATCTTATATTAACCAGCTATCCCGAGTGCGTGTCCTCCATTGCATACCTGCCTGAAATCAGTGACCATAAAGTCATTCATGCTGACTTCGTGATTAAGCCTGCTTTAGCCCCGACCATAAAAAAAAAACTATCCGTTTGTATGATAAAGGAAATTACGAAGCAATTAACTCTGAACTAACAAATTTTTACTCCACTTTTGACACTGCCTTTTCTCGTCATAATGTAACCGAAAACTGGTTGATTTTCAGAGATAAGCTAAACGAAATGGTTGATAAATACATTCCCCAAATTAACATCAATCCTAATACCGCCCAACCCTGGTTCAATAAAGCACTGAAACGATTAGAAAACAAGAAAAAACGCTCCTTCTGTGCAGCCAAGTCCCGTAACACCCCTGATGCATGGAACAAGTACAAAGCCGCCGAATCTGCTTATCTGCAAGCCATACGTCACGCCAAACACTCATTCTTCCATTCGGAAGTACCGAACATGCTTAAGAACAACCCCCAAAAATTCTGGCAAGTCATCAACCCACAGGACACGCGCAATATAACACTATGTAATGAGTTAGGGGATGCCCTAAGTGACACGGAATGTGCACGCGTGTTTAACGCCGCCTTCGCATCCGTTTTCACCCAAGAAACTGAGTTGTCATTTACCATCCCTCATGCGAACTTTGAATGTACCATGCCACCAATTACGTTTTTTTCCAGCGGTATTTCATCACTAATAGACAAAATCAAACTTTCTTCTTCAGCTGGTGTAGACAACATTACATCCAAACTCCTGAAAAATACTAAACATATCTGTGCAGCGTATCTGTGTCTATTATTTTCACAATCAATTTCAACAGGAATGCTGCCTCCAGATTGGAAGCACGGAAAGGTCGTTCCAGTCCACAAATCAGGTAACAAACAATCACCGTTAAATTATCGTCCCATTTCATTAACCAGCGTACCCTGCAAACTCCTCGAGCATATCATCTACACACATATCATGGACTTCCTTGATTCCAATAATTTTTTTCATCCTGCGCAGCATGGCTTTAGGAAAGGGTATTCGTGTGAAACGCAGCTAGCTATGTTTGTTCACGACCTGCATGTTAACCTCGACTCTAACCTTCAGACTGACGCCATCTTCATCGATTTCGCAAAGGCATTTGACAAAGTTCCTCATGAGCGCCTACTACTAAAGCTTGCCGCGTTGAATTTAAATTATGACGTATTAGCATGGATTAAAGAATTCTTAACTAATCGTTCGCAATCAGTTTCCGTCAACAATCAAATGTCTAACACTACCCCCGTAACCTCAGGTGTCCCTCAAGGGTCTGTCCTAGGCCCGCTTCTGTTTTTGATTTACATTAATGACCTACCATTACATGTATCTTCTAACATACGCATGTTTGCAGACGACTGCGTTATTTATCGTAAAATAAACAACGTTTCGGATAACACGTCTCTTCAAACTGACCTACTAAGCTTACAGGATTGGTGTAACCTTTGGCTAATGGAACTCAACCCTAAAAAATGTAAAACTGTTTCCTTTCACCGCCGTCGAAATCCGATAGTATTCCCGTACCAAATTGCTGACACAAACCTCGAATCAGTTCCTTCCTATAAATATCTCGGAGTAACCCTTTGTAGCGATTTAACCTGGGCAACGCATATTACGAACATCATTGCATCTGCTAACAAAACACTCGGGTTTTTAAAACGCCATTTGCGTCACGCTCCTAATAATGTCAAATTACTAGCTTATCAATCTCTCGTAAGGACGAAGATAGAATACGCATCAGCCATTTGGAGCCCGCATCAAGCATATCTCATCAATCAACTCGAGTCACTTCAAAATCGAGCCACACGATTTATTCATTCTACGTACTCTTACGACGTCAGCATATCAGCACTGAAAACAGAATCTGGCCTATCATTGCTTGCATCTCGTCGCCGCATTTCTAGTCTCTCCCTTTTTCACAAGTTTTTTTACAGCTCGCTCGGCAGGCCACCATACATTCTTCCTCCGGCACGCATCTCCCATCGCACTGGTCACCCGCAACAAGTTGAGCGGCCGCGTACGCGCACCGTCACTTTTTCGTCCTCATTCTTTTTTCGTGCAGCTACGGACTGGAACGGCCTTTCTAACGAAATCACCGCCATAACCTGTCCTACCACCTTTTTGAACACCGTAACAAATTACCTTGCATTGTAAAAAAAGAAAATGGCTTACACGTTTTCATATATGTACCCACCCCTTATGTAATACCCCTTCAATGGGGTCTTTAAGGTAATAAAATGAAATGAAATGAAAACGGACTTCGGATGTTTTGAACATATTTTGGTCTAAAACTGCCCTGCACAGTAGCTAGATGTGTTCTTTGGGGATCTCTTCTTTTGCCGCTTTTCCTGCCTGTGTTGCATCCGTTTTTTTAGCCTTTTTCAGACAGAGTGTCTATCTGCAGCCCATTGGTTGGTTAGGTGGCCAGGTGTTAGCCCTACCAATGACGGTAACTCTTGGCTGGCCCTGTAGCAACTGGCATTGCACCTAAAAACTGCCTCCTGCAGTGCTTTCTCCACAGCTATCACTGATGAATGCTGTTCATTGGGCATCAAGGACCATAAAACTGAGTGGAACAATTCCGATGCATTTTGTGTCTTTGCTCCCAGGCAGCATTGCACAAAAAAGCCTGTGAAAGGCGCTGATAGACATGCAGCAATGCTTTTGCAACATAGCCTGGAAGATTGTAAGTATGCTTTGGAGGGGAACATTTTTTCAGCGCTCGCTGGCTGCTGCGGCACGTTACATAAGTTGACGTACTTTCACGATGAATTAAAACATTGATATTTACAAAACAGTTAGCTAATGAGACATACTACTCGAATATGTGGTTTTCAGAAAATTGGCTTTTTCGCGACTTTCCAGCTTTCAAAGGGCGCATCCTTCTTACGCGCAGTGGCAACTAGTTGTGGTACTTGCACGATTCATGTGGCACGTACGCTTACTGCAACTAAGCTGTAACGAGATCTTGCCAGGATTTTGGAATATATGCGTACATATGGCTTACGAATTTCGTATGCACCAAGCCCTCTAGTCAAACTTCCTGCAGCGACTGCACACAACTATACGGCTCTTAATGTTACGTGGTAATGAAAATGGTGCCTGCTTTGCTATTTTTCAAATGATCACAAAGCCACATAGTCTCACGCATGAACACAAAACCACATTTTGAAGTTTTAATACATTCAATATATTTATTTACTCAGTTTTAGACGACAGAGTCAAACAAAGCGTCATTTTTCTTTGTTTCTTCGTTCGAGTTTTTTTTTTCTTCGGCATACTATATATATATAAAAATGTTAAAACAGAAACCTGACTTCAAATTCCACAAGCTTAACACCGCAATACATACACACGGTTCCACGCACTCTGAACCAGTCAATTTTTTGTTTGTTTTCTCTTGAACACTCACTCCAACACACACACACAAAACAAGCATTCTCACACACGCAGCACGGGTAATCACTTTTTTTTTCCTTGTTTCTTCTTAGTGATTTACAAAGTCATTTCCATTCCTACAAAAAAAAATAATGAAAAAGCCTATATTCAGTCCTTGTCTTGGCGGCCACCTCCTCCCAGAAAACACATTCATCCTGGCAAACTTACACCGCCGTACACGAAACAACGAACAAGTTGTCCGTCGTCTACATTCTCCGCACCAGACGATAACAGAGTTTTGCCTGCTCTTTTACCGAACATGTGCCACATGTTACGAACAACAGAGGGGTGGTGGGATCAGCCACGTGCACAGCTGGGGTGTAAGGGGAACCAAAACTACAGTGGGGCTGAGAAAAAAAAAAGGCGGGGTTCCAACTCCCTAAATACAGAGGTAAGTGAATTACGACAACTGAGGTTTCTTAGAAGGTCTCGCAGAGCGACCGGGACACCTCATGAGCGAGTGATTTGCCCCGAGTCTAAAGGCGGCGGCGCGCCCGCCAGAAGTTCCTCTCCCACTCCTCCGCTGGTGGTATACGGCAGCTGGGTACTCCGTAAAAACAAGCAACATCAAGCTGCACACTCTCACAGGGTGAAGCGGAAAGCCGGAGCACGTCAGCGGGTCTCGTACGTACAGGCGCCACGGAGATACATCCAACAGGCAAAAAAAAAAAAATATACACAAGTGTATAACTGGGCACGGTTACTAGCCAGACGGAGATCTTGGCAGCCTGTGCATTTTTCCCTAAGCATCCGTGTTGCACACACTTCTTTGTACGAAGGGGGAGAATGGAGGGCATGGGAGGTGTAGGTGCACCTCAAAGCTTGGGACGCCGGTATCTCCGCTGTCATCACAGAGAACGACGGCACACAGCTCTCCAAGCGGATGCAGAAACTAAAATGAAACGCACATGACACCAACAAAACAGAGGAAGCGTAGCCCAATGCATGGCTGTTCACAAAAAGGGAGAAGAGAGAGAAAGAAAAAAAGAAAAAGAGGCCGTAGCTCCCACAATACCCACCCTATTACCAACACTCCCCCATTCGGATGTGAACACTTCGTTTCGCTTTGGTGCGCGCTTCGTGCACAGAGCCCTCTCGCGCCTGGGTTATATATATATTACACACAATGTAATTTACAGACCGGAGAGAAGCAGCAGAACATTTTCTTTCCTATTCCCCTGAGTTGCCATGCGCCCCTGCTGTCAGAACAATGATTCGTTCTCGACAATGCCACAGACGAAGTCCATAAAAGCATTGACCAACAAGTTCTCTCCCCCCTTCTACCAAAACTAACTGGGTAGCTAATTTCTTGAGATTTCAGTATCTATGCACTGTTGTCGGGACGGCTCTAAGTAAGTGACTGATGCCTACCCAACCAAAGAAAAATATATTGCAAAAAAAAAAAGGCTATTCACTGAGCCTGGGGAAAAATAAACAACATGCGCAGAGAAAGTGTGAGGTCATGGGGGACGGGATGAGAAGCACTAACAACTCTGCACAGAAAATAGAGGGAGAAAAAAAGAAGCACACTCGTTGGGAGTAGACATCTTTGCAAGTGTTCATCGAACTCCAATGGAGCGCGGTCACTCGGGACTATTTTTTTTTCTAGGAGAGTAGTCTCTAAGGAATCCAGAGAGAAAACAAAAGTTGGGAACACACCTTGAGAAAAGTGAAGCCACAGTGCCTCCACTTGAAAAAACATACTGCCAACACCAAACTTGGCACAGGCACATGCAAGAAATCGCAACGTAAAAGAAAAAAAGCAACCGGCCAGCTGTTCTTTTTGCGCTTGCTTAGAGGTACGCTGCTTTTTCTTTTAATGCTTAACGATTTACGGTCAAAGGGCAACAATTTGAAAAGTTCACTTTCCGTTTCAGCTGTCCCTGCCAAGGAGTTAAGTGAGGGCTGGGTGGGAGGAGGATGGGAAACGCACGCACAGAACGGAGAGGCATTATTCGCCGAGAAGGAACGACGAAAAAAAAGTTTTTTGCGGAGGGCTCATCCGCCACAAAACAAAACTTGCCCTCCCCACCCAAACGTCACAGAGTTCCCGTCGTCCACCCTAGTCGCAGCAGCAGACCCGCACAAAACAGACGGCAGCGCTGCTCGCCGGCACACCACGACGAGGAGACGCGCACGACGGCGACGTGGTTCGAGAGAACACGAGCCGCCACAACTTCTTGTTCCCTTGCAGATTGATGCACGACGGACCAGTCAGAGGCGTGGGCAGGTCGGACGAACCACTGCCGTGTGCGTAAGCCCCTCCTGACCTCTTCTTGACTGGACAAGCAAAGCCTCCTCCTTGTAATCCTCCTTGCAGTGTCAAATTGTTAACAGTCCCACATGAAGGAGCAACAGCAGCAACAGTGAACCTCCCCACCTCTGCCCTTTGACATTCGAACCCCTTGCAACAGGGGGTGCAAGCGGCAGTGAGGGGAGGGAGACAAAAATATTAATGTGGCGAGGGAGGACTCAATCGGTGCTTACGGTGCCGTCGCTCTACCTGTCCGACGCTTTTGCTACGCCGCTCTGTAAGAGAGAGAGAGAGAAAAAGGGCACAGTTTCAAATATCGTGCCGACTGGCAACAAGATACTGCCACATGTCGATTCTAAAGAAACCTTTGGGCGTTTATAAACAGTTTCTCTCTAGTTCAGTCCAACTTTAATGGTGCGGTACGATCAAAACCTAAGCTTGCACATCTCATGTTCCGTTTCTTGTTACTAGTAGGCATGAAACACATCCCAACATACATGTATTCTCTCTGTAGGATTTGATATCACCTCACTGACATAACAACTTTCAGTTTCGCTTTCTGGGCACCGAGATGGAGAGCGACGCCGTGGTATAGAAAGCTTTAATGCCCGAGGCTACCAAGCTGAGATGAACACAATGCTGCATAGTCTGCTCTCACACATACACGTGCGAGCAACCATCAGGATGCTTTTCAAAACTCAATAAAAATCTCTAGTAGAAAATACGAGGGTGTCCTTAATTCTGGTACTCGCACAGATCTTAGGGAAGAGCAGGGATGTTACTAACAACCTATGATGCTTTGTACAGCAACAATTGTAGGCTAGTTTATTTATTTTTAGTCACTGAGCAACAGCAGAGAACATTATGTTTAAAAAGGCAACGTATTCTTGAACTATGGTGCTGCCGGGAATTAGAATACAATAGATATTTTTCAAAAATTATGTGCTTGCGTGGTTAATTTCGGCACCCAACCCGTTCATAAGTTTACGACTACAGTAACTCAGTATGCTAAAGCTAATACAGCCAATCCCAAATACATTGAACTGAAGGGGACCGCCATATGGTTTTCCCCTATATATGAACATTTCAAAATACAAAATATGCATACATAAGGCATTCCAGGCTTCGAAACAGTGTTTGAAAATCATAAGTGCTAACATCATAACAGCTTGCAGTATGATAAACAAGGTGAGAACTTTGCAAGTCCCCACACGTTGTGTCGCAGGAAAATAGTCTGTAAACTTGTCTTCCTAATCCAATACAAAAAGCACAGAGCTTCCTAATATGAAAAGCATCCTCATTATTCCACTTGCTACAGATATTGTTTTTGCTACCTTGTCCACAAAATTAAAAGCTTAACGGCTTCGTGATCTGAGCATTTGCCTTTGGTGCCAGGGCATGGACTTACAAAAGCTGTGAACACAAACTTCGCATCACATGCGCTGCTCTTGGGTCGATGCTTGAGCCGATCTTTCCTTGGACAAACTTCCCACGATATCATGCTCAGCCGTAAGCAGAGTCCGTCAATACTTTTACCGGTGATGAAGATTCCGCGAAAGTTTGCTACAGAGACAGGAGCAACCGCTAGCGGCGCCCTCGCCCATGGCAGGGGATCTGAGCAGCCGCGGCGCTGCAAACGTATCCGCCGGAGCTGTGAAATGTTATTAAATGTAGCCGCGAAGGTTAAATACATCTTCATAGCGATGTTACCTTCAAAGAAACTCAGAAAAGCACTAATGCAGTGAAATTTAACATCAAATGAGGCCTTGAAGCTAGAAATTCGACGGCATGCTGATTTCACTGCTAGATATACTACAGTAAAAACTCGTTAATTCGACACTCGTTAATTCGGATAATTCGGACGGCTCTATTGGTCCCGGCCAAAGTGCATGTTAATCTATGGGACCAAACCTTCGTTATTTCGTCGAAATTCGGCTCCGCAACGCTTAATTCGGACAAATGCTGACGACTGCTGCTACACAAAAATGTGATAAAGCAGCGCTGGCACCACTGGAGTGAAACCGAAACCTGAGTGGCATCGCCATCATCATCAACTAGTGCGGGCGATCGCAGCGTCAACGAACGTCGGCGTCTTCTTTCTTCTCCACTCAGCGCCTCCGACGCCATTTTCCCTTGTGTTGTCGTGTCGGAACCATCTCTTCTTGCGGAGTTCTCTTTTTCTTCCATTGTGACCGTATTTGCATGCCACCACCATCGTGCGCTACAGTGATGGCAACGCTGAAAAAGCAGCAGAACTACAACGCGAAGAACTTGGCGACTAAAGTGGAAATTTTGGAAGCACTGAAGAACGGCGAATCGCGACAGCAGCAGGTTATGACCAAGTACAACGTGAAACGGAGCACGTTGGGAACGTACGTGAAAAATGAACAACAGATTCGACGAGCCTTCGAAAGCGAGAAGTTTCATGCCTCTAGAAAGCGGTAACCGCAGCTCATCTCCGGCTCGAAGAAGCTTTGCTCCAGTGGATTACTGACTGTCGCAGCGCGCATCTGCCTTTGAGCGGACCTCTAAACATGGCGCAAGGTGAGAAGTACGCAGCAATGATGAGCATTGAATCGTTCAAAGCGTCAGAAGGGTGGTTTGCGAGGTTTAGAGAGAGACACGAACTTGTCTTCAGGAGTGTGTGCGGCGAAAAGGCCAATGTTGACGAAAGCGTGACCACCGAGTGGAGAAATGTGAAGCTGCTGGAGCACATCGCCACATATGAACCACGTGACGTGTTCAATGCAGATGAAACTGCTCTATTTTTCAGAGCTCTGCCTGACAAGGCGGTGACTTACAAAGGGGACGTGTGCATTGGTGGCAAGAAGTGCAAGCAAAGGATAACTGTGCTTCTTGCCGCCAATATGACTGGCATGGAGCGCGTGCCACTACTTGTCGTCGGGAAGGCGCTTAAGCCACGTTATTTTAAGAACGTCAAAAGCCTTCCTGTCGAGTACACAGCGAACAGGAAGGCATGGATGACATCGGACATTTTTCGCGGCTGGCTGCAGCAGTTGGACCGGCACTTCACGTTGAAGGACCGCAAGATATTTATGGTTGTTGACAACTGCAGTGCTCATAACTGTACAGTCGAACTGAAGAGCATCAAAGTAGTTTTTTTGCCGCCCAACACTACGTCTGCTCTTTAGCCGATGAACCAGGGTATCATTCACTACGTGAAGTCGAAGTACTGCAAGCAGCTGCTAGAGCGAATGATCTTATGCTCAGAAGCTGGAAAGTTGTATCAAGTGGACTTATTCGGCGCAGTGTACATCATCGCCCACGTGTGGAAAAACACTCCGCCGCAAGTCATCGCCAACTGTTTTCGGCACAGCGGTTTTGTGAGGCCCGAGCATGCAGCAGTAGCTGACGATGGCATCGAGGAGGTGTCAGCAGAGTCCACCGACGATGACTGCCCGACTTTCGATGCTATCCTTCCCACAGATGTGACCTTTCAGGACTACATCGCGATTGATCATGGTGTCGCCACGAGTGGTCTCCTGACCGATCAAGAGATTATTAATGATGTCACGGGCGCGCATCAAGACCACGATTCCGACGAAGAATCATGCGAGGAGATACAGCCGCGACCTCATCGCACCTCACGGGAAGTCTCTGAGGCGCTGTTAATATTAGAGGACGCTTGCCTGAACACTCGCGACAGCTTGCGTGCTGTTGGCCGTTTGGAACAGTTAAGAAAAATTGTGATGTCAGCCGCAATCTGCGCGAAAATGCAGACGACAATTACAAAATACTTCAACAAATAAAGGTATGCTTATGCAGCTTAATTTTAAATGTTGTTTTCCCTGTTCATTCGTTAATTCGGCATTCGGTTAATTCGGACAGTTTTTTCGGTCCCGTGAAATCCGAATTAACAAGCTTTTACTGTACTGCTATAAAAGCATGCTTCTTTTTTGCCCTGAAGCATCTAGTGAAACTTTGTCGACCGCCCACAGTTCTTCACCAACTGCGGTGGTTCTTAGAACGTAGAACTTCAGTGGTTGCAAGTTGACAGCGCGTAACCTTTTAGGCTATATATACATGCGGTGTTTCTATATGAAGATATACCGTATTTACTCGCGTAATGAACACACTCGCATAATAAACACAACTTCGAATCCCCCCCCCACCCCGTAATAAATGTGCCCCCTAAATTCATCCGCTGCTGGATCTCTTCCGCATTTTATTATTTTGTCACCCCCCCCCCCCAGGCCACCTTGGCTTGCTCCCTCCCCCCACCTTCCCCTGTTGCTGCGTGCCGCATTGTTTTTCTATCTGTATGCAGAACGTCCTCATCTTATCTGTGCCCCAGAGCAGGGTTCACCGGAACAGTGCAAGTGTAGACATCACAGCTGATAAGCACCCAGCGAGCGAAGGTCACGAAGCTGCCCACACCAACCAACAATCGCTCCCTGCGAATAAGAAAAAGCCCAACCATGCACATGCGATTTTTGAGCGACGACGACAGGATTTGCTGTTGTAAGGGTCATTCGTTGCTATTGTTGCAGGTTTCTGGAAAACCAGAAAAAATAGCTTGTCTTCAAGAAAATATCGTGACGATTTCCGCAACTTGGTAGCACCCCCGATTCTCGCTTCACTTGTTATCCGCGACGTAGAGGAACCTTTCGTGTAGAAGCGAGGCGGCGGCTGTGGTTAATCTTGCTGCAATGCTGGTTACTTGCTACAATGTTAAAACGGCATCGTCACGGTTGCCGTGCGAGGTTGCGCTTCTGGGTGACCCATGAGATCACAGCAGATATTGCGGTTAGACGATTGCGAGAAAAGATAGCCGCAAAATGCTTTTATGGCGTGCGCGCCCGGGAACAGTGGGCAGAAGAAAATGCCATCAACCACCGAAGATGAGTAGTAAAGTGCAACAAAGAAACTGTTTCCAAACAGTGTACGCGTATGTCAATTGTGAAAAGCTAAGAAAGCTAACCTTTTTTGCATAACTGCATTTTTTGCTCTTCCCGAAAAAGTTTTCATAAAATTTACACCGCATAGTAAACCCCCCTTCCCCCCCCCCCAACTTTGCTTTGATTTTTCGAGAAAAAAGTGGGTTCATTACGCGAGTAAATACGGTATATCTTAAAATTGCCTTGTATTTACTAAACCAACAGCCACATTGAATGAATCAGTGCTTTGAATTTAGCAAGTGAAATACGATGTCATTTAACATTTGCCTAGCTTTCGTGTTTTGTTTTACGTTGATTTATCACTACGGTGCCGTAGCGCGTTCCAAGTTTGGTTGGCCCAAAAATATAGTTTCTCA